GAGCCAAATTAGGATCATTGGAAGGAAGTGATTGTTGTTGGATTTCAAGAGCTTTCTCATAATAAGAAAGTGCTGAGAGATAATTATTCATTCCGTAATGCACATAACCCATATTGTGGTAGGAAGTAGCCAAATTAGGATGATTGGCAGGAAGTGATTGTTTACTGATTGTTAAGATTTTGTCATAATAAGCAAGTCCTTCTTTATAGTTTTCTTGGTTATTTTTGATGAAACCAAGTTGATGATAAATAGATGCCTTGTCTTCCTCATCGTCCGTTTGATCAAGTATAACTTGATAAATGTGTTCAGCTTTGTCATATTGACCCATTTGAATTAGTGCCAAACCTAATCTGTACCATCCATCTTCATGTAGAGAACTCTCTTGACGAATGTAATCGGTAAGTCTGTTCAATTCTGAATCATTATCAGTAGTAAGTGTCAAGTTAACTTGATACAAACGATTATTTCCATCCATCTGTTTAATATGCTGGATGCGAAAAACGCTATGCATCGAAAACAAGACTTCTTCTTCTTCTTCGAAGTCACCGATGCTAGGAATAAAAGCAAATGGGGATGTTGATTGAGATGGATCTACAGTGATAACGAAAAGTATTCCATATAAATCCGGATTGGCCAGATTGCTTTCAGCAAACAAATAGGAAACGTCACGATCTTTACTTGTAGATAAGAAGCAGTTGAATGAAATAAGGCCACCCTCAGCGTTCTTCATTTGTTTAAAATCCTCTTTAGACAAACCTTGTCCACGATAAAGAGTGAAAGTGTCGGCATCAGTTTTAGTGGCATATTGTTCCTGGTGTAGTTTTTCAATCTGTCGATGCAAATCACCAATAAAGAAGCCCATTCGTGTAATGATGTCACCATCCATCAATCGTAATGCCTTATTGAGCATGGAATATAAGAACATGTCACGGGTGTACCAATAAATCGGTGTTTTGTTATGATATTGGTCTTCCAACTGTTTAATATTCTTGACGTCTTTTATATTACCTTTAGAAGGATCGCGACAATAATCGATATAATCCTGGATGTGATTTTGGTTGAATTTTATGCTCAGTAATATCTCCTTGATGATTTGAGTGTACATAAAAGAAGGATCTAATTGATCCAACCTTTTATTTGATTCCACAAAACTCATGGGAATGGCATTCTGCTCACATTGATGAGCAGCTTTCTTGAGTGCTTCACAGATGGATGTAATATCTGTAAAGACACCCTTTATTTTGAACCAGTCCTTAGCCCATTGTTTATGATGTTTTTGGTTTTCACAAAAAATGAAAATTGAATCTAGTTGAGATATATTGTGTACACGAGGTACAATATGTTGTCCAAGTGATCCAGATATAATCATACATGCTTTTTTGTTAACAATTGTTTGAATGAATTCAAAACATTGATCACCATTTGTAAATGTTTTGATGTCGTCGATAGCCCGTCGCAGTTGTTTGATTGTATTTTTGCAATTATCATTTGTCTTGTCAATGTTACTGTCTAACCAGATAAGAAGAACATTTTGCATGCGTTGAATATTGGTACGTCGACGACGTTCTGCATATTCTGGAAATGGATATTTATTTATAGCGCCATCAGATTCGTTAGTTGCTATTAATTTTCTGTTGTTCATTGTTGACCGTGTGAGTGATTTGAATTCGAGTTATTATGTGAAATTTACTAGTAGCGTAATGACCAAAACTGATTCGTTTTATAAGTGTTTACTTTATTTCAAAATGGTTTTTTCTCCACCTCGTGATGATGTGGTTATGAAAAACAACTACTGAAGAATAAAAAAAAATACACTGGTGAAATATTGTCATGGTTGATTAACTATAGCAGTAGCTTACGAAAAATAAATGTTTGATTTGGTTTAATGGAGAAAAAAACGTGTTGAGTCATGTTTGTTATTAGAGAATCGCAAGTGAAAAAAAGTATTTATATTAGTAAATGTTTAAACTAGCTTTTATCCTTCTTCTTGTTGTATTGTTTCAACTGAAAGTCTCTAAATGACCATCATGTAGATAATTAAGATAAACTTGTAAAAAAGTGCATTCTTGACGAAAAGAATTTAATAATAATTTTTCTTATCACTGCATACTTAAAAAAAACTACTAGATCACTAATTCTTACTGTTGTTGAGATATTTATGTAAAGTTCTCATATCTATTTGTGACATTAAGGATTGCTATAGCCTAGTTCTATTGATCTTGATCTTGAATTTAATCTACAGGTTGAGTACATTATTTTTAATAGTTTTGTATAATTTATTGTATTTACCTGAAACACTGAAAGTTTATTATTTTGATACCGTTGGATAGAGCATCGACGACTCTATCGAATTATACAATACGTTTAATTAAGAACAAAATATATCACAAAATGAGGCGTCAAAAGCTCGACAATACGCGTGATCAAGTGTATATTAATTGTGCATTATTCTGGATTTTTAGAAAAAATACAATTCAGCGCAACCAATTTTTTCCAATTAAAAAAAAAATTGCTTTTAAAATAATAAAAATTTGGCTTTGTCGATTTTTTTTATAACAAAAACTAAAAGTAGAAAAGAAATGGCTCCATGCATCTTTTGGTATCTTTTGTTTCAAAGAAATTTCAAAGAAATGTGCTGATACAAAAAATAAAACATACTCTATCTCTCATCTGATACCTGTTTTTAAAAAAAACATTTTTGATGTTGTTTGAGATTTTGAAATTTATTTGAACTGAAACCGAAGAACAAAATGTAAACTAAATGATTTGATGGAGCAATCAGAACTCTATCTAACTGTATCAAAATGATAAATTTCCAGTGTTTCAAATAAATACAATAAATTACACAAAACTATTAAAAATAACGTACTTAACCTGTATTTATATCAAATTAAAGTATTTGTACAGTAAAAAGATAGTTTCACCATTGCTGAGGAAAACGATAAAGGTTTCTTCGTTCACATTTTAATTCCTTGTCAATTCTATTCAGTGATTGTAAGCTAACATATCTAAAGATCATCGAAGAAAGATATATCGACTGTAAATTTATCTATATAAAATTGGATTATGTTAATATTATGAGTGACAAAAATTTTCTCCATTCATCTTTTTGACTGTTTACCTGTAGGTTCATCTTGTGAATTTAATGTATTCGTTTTGTTTGCCGTTAGAAGACTTGGGTCTCTTATTTATCGACATTGTTGTAGAATCGAATTTTTAACTAAAGCAGATCTTATGGTTAAACGTGAAGAGGGATATAGTATAAAGTATGAAGAAATATTCATTTCTCATTTTCACTAAATGAATATATACAGTTGGAATTGATAGCCAAGAACTTTTCACGGGATTTTCAACTAATTGATTCTAATCCTGTTTAGAATAATAATAAACGCTATATTGAAACTGTTTTAATTAAATAGGAAGTATTGAAGGAAGTTTTTTACCTAAAGAAGATTCGAATCACGTGTAGATATTGTTAAGGAAATTTGTTCAATAGAAGGAACAGTTAACATTAAAGATATAAGATAACTGAATATTGAATATTGGTAAATAGCCAAGAGAGAAAAGATTTTTGAATATGGAAGTATACAAGAAAAGATGCGATTTTTAATGAAGAATCTCTTAATGTAACATCAAATTGATAAATATTCGGAATATATTCAATAAGTAAAGATAAGTCTTTGAGCTAGATAACGAATATGATGTGAAATAATATTATTTATTGAAAGATCACTCAAATGAAGTGAATCGCAATCAAATATAATATTATTTTAAAAAGAATTGTTTTCATTTAAAATTTTCTAAAGAAAATCTTCAGTTGATATTGTTACTGAATTTAATAGTTCTTGAATTTTATCATGAATTAATAATAATGTTCCACGTTTCCAACTTGTTAATATTAAGATTTGTAAGTTTGAAAACGTATTGGACATCTATTGAGTAAATAACGATGGGAATGATAACTAATGTGATTGATGGATCTATTGGAGCTAAAATATATTCATAGATATAAAGTAAATGTTTATATGATGCACAACGAAATCAAACATATTGATAATAGAATGTGATTATTTGATTTATACGAAAATTTAAGTTATAAAATGAATAAAATACATGACTACAATAAAGATATCGGCAGATTTCTAAAATCATTTATCTGGCAAGATTATGAATGTTGATATTTAAGCAAAATACATCTAGAATTTGTTAATAACTCAAAACTGTCGAGAAGAAGTTGATATTCTATACAATAATCAACAAAAATCTTCAGGATGTGTGTGTGGGTGCTGACAGAGGAAGAATACAACACCCACACCCTCAAGATGCGTCATTAAATTAAGTTAAATAGCATCGTAAAAATTAATTTCAAATACAATTTATTATTATAATAGAGACATGCGAATAAATATTTTCATTAATTTACTTTAAACGAAAGTTCAATTAAGTGGTATTTTATTGATGGAGGTCTCGTCATCAAAATTTTGATAGCTTGAAGCTAAGGATGTGGATGTAGGTAGAATCGATGTGATACACTCATAGCCAGCCACATCCACACCGTTACTTACTATATTATTCATTTATTTATTTATTTATAGTTATCTGCTCTTAGTAACCTTTATTTTTCGTTGATCGGAATTCTTCTTTTTAACTGATAAAAGTTGACATTTTCCTAGTACTTATATCTAATAAACTGGTCACTTTACAATTATTTATTCATGATTCCAACACTAATCGTTTAATATTTAGGCTACTCGTGTACATATTTTTCTTACTAGTCATTTTATCTATTATATTGATCAATTAAATAATGGTCATGGAAATACTTCACATTTATATACATGTTTACTAGGTTTTCAAAAGAATATGGTCTCAGTTTTACTAACGATGATTTTATTTTTATCAAATCTTTCTTTTTTGACAACCACCATTCAAATCACATTTCGTAATATGATTAACGCTCGTATTTTAGTCAGTTAATGATTATTTTACAAAAGCATTCGTGATTAAATAGTTTGATTACAACATTAAAATTTACGATTTAATCAGCAAATACAAATATTTCTTTTTCTATCGATTTCAATCAATGCAGCTCAACAATATTCAAAACAGTAAATTTAAGTCCATCTGTAATTAATATTTTTCCATTTTCTAAAATCGATGCTGTATGTTGTGGTTTGCTTATTCATTCCGGAATAGTCTATCACATCCGCTCTTCATATAAGAAAGAAGCGAACTACTCGCGTAGATATTTTTCTTTTTAGAAAAGAGAAAACCTTTCATATAAAAACGCAAGAATGTACTTGAGATACGTTATTTTTGATTTATTCTCGTTCTTTCTAAAGCACGCATACATATTACACAGAACAGTATCATGTCACAACAAGCACAAGTTCAACAGCTAAATCAAGAAGCAGCCAGAGAAGAGGTAATTTTATCGATTCTCTTTTGTTCATAGGTATTAAAATATACAAATGATTTCTATCCCAGGCTGATGATTCCTAGAGCAGTATTCCATGAATTTCTGGCAGGAACTCCCGCCAGAAAATGCCAAGAATTCGACCCTAGAATCGATTCCGGTCACCGAATCCTTTCAACGGAAATACTGCTTCCATCAAATCTCCGAAATACCATAGAACCAGCTGTTTCCGTGTTGGATTGCTCGACCTGGGTTTCTTCAACTACCAGAATTATAAAAAGAAAAAACAGCTCTTGAAAAAGGGCTAGATGCAGTGCTCGAAGAGTATGAAAATACACAAGTTCCAGTGGTAGCTTTTAACAGCAATCGAAATGCAGACCGGGTTGTATCTGATCTAAAAGATCTTCAAGAAGAAATCGAGCAAACAAAAGAACAGGATGGCATTATCGATGAATCAAACGAACAAAATGCTGTTGAACTCTAACGAAAAGAATGATAAGCAAGAAATACAATGTGAAGATGGTAAGTTCAAATAGTTGTCTTTAAACTTTTCATTTACATTCCTGTATTCTTTTTAATTATTGATACATGAAATTTCTACTTTGCTTTATTGCTTATCATTAGATGCACACACATCGCGCATTATACAATTCTTTTTGGTCTTTTATTTGATTTATTTGTCGTGTTTGACTCACTTCGATTTGAAAAGAAACGTTATAATAGGTATAAAAAAAGAAAATAGTCAATCATTGGAGTTAACATCAAAACATTAAGAAGAATAGAACTAGGCAAACGGAGTACTTCTTGTATTGAACCATTATTATTGTTCTAATACAAAACATATTTTCGAAGAAATTTTGATTGCTAACACTGATATTTTCTATGTCTCACTGACTGTTTATTCAAAAACAATAGTTTATAAAAATAAGTTCATATTTTTAACTTTTAATAAATGATAGAAAAATAGTTTGAATGAAGATTTTGTAGACAAGGTTACAAAATATGGTGACCCATTGTTCATATTAGTAATTTTTCTGTTCTCATCTTTCAATGCAATGTACGTGCAAAACTGAATATTCAAAAAGAGAAAATAATTATCTGTTTTTCGTATGAACTATGAATAACTTAGGTTAATGGTTCATTTAAATAACGTACTCTGTATTGAGAATGCAAGTGTAAGTGTGAGTTGGAAATAACACCTACGCCTACCCACACCCTCACACACACACCGACACTCATAGCCACACCCACACCCACCCGAATGTATTGCAAAATTGTTAGATGGAGTTGTGGGCTTACTAACATTATCCTTGCAACAAAAATTCCAACAATCACGATGATCAGGAGCAGAAGGAAAATCATCATAACAACGATAATCACCAGGAAGAAAATCATCGGGACCAGGACAATTGCCATGATGAGAATAATCAGGACTAAAATTATAAGTAAAACTAACAGGTCGATCATCATAGTTATGACATGTACAACCTGGTACTTGCCCACTTGTACCAGTCATTATTGAAAATAATACCAGAATTAGGGCTACCTTAGCACTTTTCATCTTATGTTGGTTGCGAGAATACGAGAGCTTCGAGAAATAACGACGAGATATAATTTTGCATGATATACTGCCTATTTAAATAGCACTCGATATGACAGGACAGGAACGATGACAAAAAACAGCTTTTTGTGATTCATTCACTCTATTTTTATCTGTGCTACTAGTGGGTGATCTCTGTCTCTCTCTCTCTCTCTTACTTCTATATGTTATCAATCCTACATTTTTCGTCAAGTGACGCTTTTCTCAAAAAACTTTCATCGACGTAATTTCATCAACCCACTTTATCAACAGACTATTGTCAAAGTATACTTTGGCCAGAGATAAGATTTTTTCACGAAACTGATGATTTTTCATAAAGTCTAATGAAAGGGCGCGAGTGGGTGCATGTTGGTGTGGGTATGCGTCCGAGTGTAAATGAATGTTGATTACTTATGTACATCCTCACGCACACCCACCCTCATGTCTCATTTTTATCATAGTTATTAATATTGAAAAATATTAACTTCGGTGGTGCAGATATAGCAAACTCGGGAAAGGTTTTTTTTATAACAAGTATCATATGTATAGCATTTTTATTGTGAAAAAGGCAAGATGTAATGGGAAGGAAGAAGAAGTTTTATGGAATGGTGAGAATGATTAATAGAAATATATGAACGTGACAAAAATAACGTATGTGTCTACGTTATTCACCAAGGAAGATGGATTATTTAATAGAGACTTGTATAAAAAAAGAGTTTTTTGTCATATATTCGAAATGAAATTCGTTCTGTACTTCATTGTATATAACTGCCAATTTCATGAGTAAATTGAAGATAAAAGTCAACGAAAGAAATAATAGTATTGCTTGTCAGCTCTCGCAAATAATCAAATCCGATTAACTGGCGAAATTCGAAGAGAACAAGAAACCACCATCGAATCGGTGTAGTGATCATATGCATTGTCGAATGATCAAACGTTCCGTAGCACGAAGCCACTATATCATTAGCAATAATAGTACCTTCGAATGTTAAGAGAGCATAGATACTGTCATCGTATATTATTGTTTCTTTAACATCTACGACTTTCAATGGACTTAAGTCTAATGAGAAAATAAGGTCGCCAACAGAAACATTTTGTGCGAACGAATAACGCTTGTTTTTACCATAGTTCGAAAGAACAAGTAGGGAATGCTGTGGAGTTAAACGAAGGGGAATGCTATATCCCATTGCATAGATGTCGACAAAACGAATTGAACTTCGATAATAGCGAAAAGTAGCCAAGATGGGACTTGCGATTATTTTTTCATTGCTTTTGACAAAAACCAAATCACCGACGACGAGATCACTTATCTTTTTTATGTATCCATTAGCTAATCGTAGAGTAGTATTCGACGAAAAACACGGGTCAGGTTTAGCTATAGAAAGTATAAGATATAAATGTGCAAGTATTCTTTGGAAGCTTACCCGTTGTCGTTGTGGGTGTGGTTGGGGTTGTAGGGATGAATCTTGTTGTTGTTATCGTTGTTGTCGTTGTTGTTGTTGTTGTTGTTGTATCCTCAAGACAACGGCTACTCGTAGAACCGAGTTCTAATTCTGACGGACAAATTGAAGAGTACTGAGCTGTGCACCTGGCATTCGTGCACGACAAGCAGGCATCTACCCGAAATAATGGTTGCGCTGTTGGAGTGCATTGACTACCAGAGCAACAGGTACACAAACAACTACCAGGTAGTGCTGTAATTGTTTTGGGATTCAGAAGAACATTTATAACGACAACGAAAACGAGAAGAACTCCGTACATTTTGTTTTATCTAGAATAGCTCAACCACAAAATGGTATTCGCAGAAATAGCTACCAGCATTCAACTCAGGTCGGTTGCTAAAACAATTTCCAATCGTAAACAGGGTTGGGTTGAGGCTCGAAAACTTGAATCATATTCAACTCGGTTTTGACTGACGACGGAGCCGCTTGAAGTGATTCACAGCTTTTGAACTGATATTTAGCCGATAAGTAGAGCCTAGTGGTAATAGCAAAAGCTCAGAAGAACAACGACTCATGGGTCTTTGAGGGTATGGACCCGGGTAGTGCATGGGAAGAATACAAGCACCCACACCCACAGCGTACATTGTAAAAAAACCCACGAAATAATCAACCGTTGCACGGAAAAAATGTTCTATAGACACTCCGGTGGTTTATGTTCATGCCATATATACTTCAAGGATTCGCAATACGAAGGGTTCATAGCAACGAAAGTATTTGAAAATAAAAAGGGTTTTTTGGCGCATATTTAAAGATTTTTTATTCAGTCGTTTCATCGAATGGATTTAGTATTCTATCTACAAGGATACTTAATTCCGCGTTTTCATTAGAAATATATGCTATTTTATACGTGAGCGTAGATTACTCTGAGATTCCACCAAAAGGGTGTATTATAATATGTATAAGGGTAGATTCCTCTAAGATTTTAGAAAGAAGCTATACTATTTTACGCATGAGGGTATATTAGTCTATGATTTTAGAGTAAGAACTCACTAATGTACACAAGAATAGAGAATTGTACGGTTTGAGCAAGAACGCTTAATATTCAACGGATAAAGACATATTGTTCGACGATTACAAAAAAACAGAGTGATTATTCTGCGCACAACGGTAGACTATTCTATGAATTTAAGAAGCAGCGTTTATTATTCTACGTATCAGTTTATATTATTCTATGAGAATAGAAAAAAGATTTATTATACAAAATATAAAGATAAAGTATTTTACGATTATCGAAACAAAGTTTATCGCTCTACACAAAAGGATAGATTATTTTATGTGCACGAGAAAAGCTTTTATGATTCTACCTATAGGGGTATATTATTTCACGACTACAAGAAAAGATAATTTATTATTCAACACATGAGGATACACTGCTGCGATTATGAGAAATCGATGTATTGTTCTACGTATCAGAGCATATTATCCTATTGTTACAGAAAAAGCACTTTTTATTCTACGCATAATGCTAAATCATTCTAAAATTATCAAAAAAAGTTTGTAACTCTGTGCACAGCTACAGATTTTTCTATGATTACACAAAAATACTTCATTATATAATATACAAGTTAAATTATTCTACGATTTTAGCGGAATGATTTATTTTTACATACACAAGGATAAGTCCTTCGATAATTACCAAAAAATATTTATTATTCGAAGCAGAAGAGTAGATCAATCCATATTTACAAGAAAAATGTTTATTATGATAGTATAAGGGTAGACATTCTATGGTTTCACCAACTCCTTTGTTGTTCCACACAAAAGTGAGTAGATTTTCGGTTTTGTCTTGTAATGTAACCACTTCGACAGCGTGGTGTGGATGAGTGTAGGTATGAAATAAACAGAGAGGCAACACCGTCAACCTCACCCATACCCACCCACCCACACACACACCGCTTCTTTTCATTCCGCACCTATACCTACATCCCCAAACCCTTCATAATTCTTTAAAGGAGTATGAAAAGAAATACTCTTGTTTTTCAACTTCGTCCTCCGCTTTCTTCTCACTGGTTTATTCGTCTCGTAAGGTAGAAAATATTCGTATTCTCCTTCTCAATATTTGTTCTCTGAATACTAAGAACTCATAAGTATTATTTGATGATAAAATATTCTGTTTCATGATTTGCGATTCTATATCAATATGCTTATCACGAAATCAAACCCAAGAGGTAGGCTTTATACGAAGTTTGAGATAAGAATTTAAATATTTACAGCAAATAAATGATTAATATTACTTCGTGTATATAAAGTCAATGAATGTAGAAGAAATATAAGTTATTTAACGGTCTAATCAAGGCGTATTCAGGTAAAATGGGTAGTTGCATGCATTAATAATTTGTTCATCTTTTAGATAATATAATATTTAAGAGACGATCCATGTAGTCAATGAGGTTTTTTTTCGAAATCATGACACGACCAAATTTTAAATTCAAGTTCAGCTATGCACATTCGATAGCCCATATCGAGAAACCTATCAATCCAAAATTGTAGATTAAACGTGCTTTTCTGATCGATAGATGGGGGATTTTTAAAAACAAGCTTCTTTCAAGTTTTCCTTAAAATGCGGCTTCTCACATGTCGCTTGTTTCATAGCCATTTATCAGTGGATTTTGTTTCAGCAATATGTTATTTAAATGAGAAAACGGAAGAGGAGAATATATAAAACTTTAGAAGGTCAAGCAATAACATGTATTCCCTCGTCTGAAGAAAAGGGTTATACAGCGTTTAATTCGTCGGCTTGAAAAACATAAATTTTGTCTGTCTACCCAAGCTAATCAGAAAGCCGTAGGTTATTAACCAATGACAACTCAGTCAGTATCATCAAATACAGTTTTACCAAAGGTTTTCGAAGTTGAAAAATCCGAATCCGAAGTTAGCTTCTGAAATTTGCTTAGATTGTTTTTTTCATCAAAACGAAATGTTTTTTTTTGCGAAAAATGGTTTCTTATGAGGTTTGATCATATATTTTTGAGGCCGAAGACTACGCGTTTAGATGTAGTGTAGTGATGCTTTGGTAGCAAATTTTCTTCAAAAGTAGATGACGATAATATGATGAGAAGTGTGTTTATTTGTTTGCTCTTTAGTGTCGTAGATCGGAAGTCATTTGAGTACAGGCAAATAATTCATTTTTGACATTGGTGTTGATGTAAATGAAATTCGTTGAAAAGTGAAAATGATTGAATGTATTAAATGTACTCTTCAGTTTTTCACAAATCTATTTATCTGAAGGTCATTACTGAGCGTATCGGATATTATCATGATGCTGATTCTGTCTTGTGCAAGGAATATCGATCGTGAGCGGAGCTTCATATTTATTTTCTTGACTGACTACTGGTTAAATGGAATTACAGGTTAGAAATGTAGTGTCGGTCTGGTATGCTTTTATCAAAAGATTTCTATGTAATCATAAAATGAAGGATGGGTGTGAGTGTGCGT